ACTGGTTATAAATATGAAAAGAGCTTACTCTCAACATCACATTTGTACTAGTAATAAATAGCATGTGATATGGGCTCCTCCATAATTTATGTGTTTGATTAAGTACTGATCATGCACATGGAACCCTGCTTGGTTTGATGATGATGATGAAGATTCACATGCCAAGCATACACTACTTGGCCTCCCAAGAAAAAAACTACGCTAAAGACAACCGATGTGATTAATGATATGTCGCTTAAATAGTAAAATCGTTTGATGCTATCCTACATTTATATAATTTTTAGGTTTCACTCGCGGCCCGAACCCCCACAGTGCAGAATAAGATTTTACATGTACTTGAATGGCAGAAAAAAACAATATAATTACTATTTGAAAATAAATTAATACGCAGCAGACTCTGATAATGATTCAGTAAAGGAAATTGCAAAAACATCCCCCAGTAAATTTGCTTGAGCCTCTATTTTTTTCTCCTAACCTAACAGTGTATTGATAATGAATGAAAAAGAAAGGTCTGGCGACAGCAGCCATGGCCAGTTTGCCACAGATACAACTCACAACACATGCATTGTTGAGTATGCTCATCCCGGTAAGATTCATCAGAGAATGATACAGCTTGGAGGCTAGGATTATCATGCTGATCCATATATATTGAATTACTTCCATGGTGGGAACTGCAGAGGGGTTTACCTGTTGGCTGTATATACCATGGGCCACATGCAGCTGCAGAACCCCACTAGTCATGGGGCAGCGTTAGGGTTCAGTGAATATAAAAATGGAGTGATTAAAAGTTCATTATTCTTTCGAACAAAAGGTATTAATATTATAAGCTTATATTCCTGATACTATGCAAAGAGTACTCTTTGAATAATGGAGGTTTTTGTATTCTTGCAGATTGAGTAATTCCAAGTCTTGATATTTTTCAATTTCCGTACGAATAATTGCTTGGATTCTGCTATTAAAGAAGAGGAATTTTGGATAGTTTCGATCCATCTGGCTAAGCTTGTTTTGATCTCAGGAAAAATAAAAATAAAGAGTAATGAGTTTGCTAAAACATGATATTCCATCGAATGATCAAGTATCAGGATCCATACAAATTTATGTAAATTAAATTTGAGGCATGTTCTAAGAAATTACCAGCCATCTAATATTAATTCTTAAGATATCAAAGTATAATTACAATATCAATCCTACCTAATTATTTTACATTGATATATATCAAGCCATGGATGACAGTATATCGGGTTGGAGTAGAATTTTCCTCCACCTGATTCCGACTTGAAATATCTGAATTTAATATCCAACTTCGACTTTGACTCGGTTGAATCGGATTGGATGGAAGATTTTATCTATGTGCCCAATCCCTTTTTTTATTTTCTTAAATCAGTTTTTTAATAAAATATTAGCTTAAAAACAAATCATAAATTCATGTATCTAATAACAAAAATCATTCATAGAAAAAAATCACATATATTATATTAAAAAATAAAATTATAATACTATAAAAAACAAAGTTAAAAAAGTATGATAATGGTCGAGTCAGGTAAAGCCCTCGTTAAATTTCAAATTAAATTTTATTTATATTTAATTTCATCCTAGTTAAATTACTAAAATCTCATTTAATTGAATCAAATGACATCAACGAATCGGTAAAATTTCCATCCCAATGCACAAGTTTGTCTCAAATAAATTAACAATTGAAATGTTTTCGCATGATATTTGGTCATAGTATTGCTATGTTATATTAGTGTTTTGAACTGGTTGGTGACCACGCTTTGCCACATGATCAAACTATTTTTTATATAAAAATAATATTTAAATACTAAAATAATATAAAAATCAGTTATGATAAACTTGTAAGTAAACTAATTAGAAATGCAATTTAAATCATGTAATTAGAATAGCCTGAAAAAGAATATTTAAATACTAAAATAATATAAAAATAATATACAAATCAGTTATGATAAACTTGTAAGTACACTAATTAGAAATGCAATTTAAATCATGTAATTAGAATAGCGTAAAAAAAAAAAAACTATAAAGGCTTTAAAAAAATTATGTTAACTTTTTAAATTTGTAATCTGATGCAATTTAAATCATGTAATTAGAATAGCGTAAAAAAAAAAAAAACTATAAAGGCTTTAAAAAAATTATGTTAACTTTTTAAACTTGTAATCTAAGTTATTAGACTTCAAGCATCTAATATAAAAAAAAACCATGAAATATAATTCCTAATCAATTAAATATTAAAGGAAGAAATTAATTTTTTTTTAAATAGCAGTTAAAAAATAAGGATCAAAATTAAAACACAAAAATAGATTTATATTTAATTTAAGGTTGAAATTTAAAAAAAAACATCAATTTAGTAAAAAAAATCAAAATTGACATAAAAATTAAAAACATTGTTGTAAGTAAAGGGAAAATTTGAAAAAAAATAATAACTTTTACAAAAGTACCAAGAAAAAAATTAAAATCAAAGCAACGAGCATCAAATTGAAAAACATAATACTATTAATTTGGAATAAGTGATGAAATTAAAAATCACTAAAACTTTTATAAACTAAAAATTTCAAAAAAGAAAACCACTAAAACTTTTACAAACTAAAAAATCCAAAAAATAAGGACCACATTGAAAAATATAATATTTGGTAAATTGGGATTGAATGATAAAATTAAAAACAAATAAAACTTTTATAAAATAAACAAGATAAAAAAAATTAGAAATAAAAAGAATATGAACTTAAGTTGAAATACCGACAATCAAGAGGGCAAAGTTGTAATTTTCAGGAAAAAAAAAAAGGAAAGAGAAGAAGGAGGATGAAAAGAAAAAGAAAGATTCATTAATGCTAAACCAAACCAACACCAATAATACACGTTGCACCTATAAAAAGAGAATACAATAGTGCTTTCAACAGTATGGTAGAAGAGTATTTTTGAATGCTAGAAAGTGCTGTACACACCACTCGAAATATATGAGCGCTTCCAACATGCTCTGGAATATGATTCACGTGCGTCCACTTGTTATTTTTTATTTTATTAGTTAGCTAAATACAAAATTGTTCCTAAGCTGACATGGTATTTTTATTGTTTTACTGTATATTTGATTGCTTATTATTTTTATATTTGATTAAATATCAAATTATCTCCCAATTTAAATTAAAATAACCAAAAAACCATTATAAATATACTAAAATACCTCTTGATGCCAGGTTTATTTGAGTATTTTTACTATCTAATTAAAATGAGAATATCTTTATTTATTTTTTATTTGATAATAACAAAGAAGTCTTGTGAAAAAGTTTTAATATCTTTTTAAGCTTGTGCTAAGTTTTTTGAGTGGAGAAACGGAAACATTAATAGTAACAGTAAGTATATACATAGCTACAATAGCTTTTAAAGGGTTTTATTTCTTTTTAATAATACTGTTGAAAATACCAATTAAATACCAAATACCAAATAGATTGTCCATTGAACAACTCTCTGTTTACTTAAAGAATATACCATTGAACTTAAGTATAAACTACTGTTAACAATGACCACGAATGATTTGATTGGATTAGAACTCCAAATAATCGAGTTCTGTAACCTTAGCTGTTTTCAAGTGTTCGAATATCATGCACAGTTTTATTTTCAAGTATCTTGACGGTGGTTATCAATATAAATAAATAAATCAAACCTAATATCCACCGTGTAAATGATTAGTCTAATCATAACTATAAAAACAAAAGGGTAAACATCAATCGCCTTTTATATCAAATTTAATTACTAGTCATTTCTAATTTAATGGGAGAGCTAAAAGGAAAAGGAATAAAAAAAAAACTAATCTTTTAGTTTCTTTTTCTCTGATTTTGCGGCAGTCATTTCTACATGGCTATAAAAGAGTCAAAAGCATTAAAATAGATTATTTAAAGATTTATTTTTTCATCTCCATAATTTCCATAAATGTTTTTCTTAAGATACCAAAAGTATATTAATATTAAATATATTAAAAATAAATGGGTTATTAAGATGATTTTTTCATTAAAACACAAATAAAATAAAAAATATATTTACACTATTTAAAAAACTATTTAAACTATTTAACTTTTTTAAAGAGATGCTCTTATGTGATGTATTATTAACTCAATCCCATGAACTCATTACCCTATCTTTATTTTCACATTATCATTGGCAATTCCAAAAAAAAAAAGTTGGCAATGCTCAAAGATAAAAAAATATTAAAAATTATAATAATTGTTATTTTTCAAAATATTTTTTTTTAAATAAATTACATAATTTTTTTATTTTTTAAAATATTTTTAAAAATTATAATAATTGTTATTTTTCAAAATATTTTTTTTTAAATAAATTATATAATTTTTTTATTTTTTAAAATATTTTTAATAATAGCACATCAAAACAATCTGAAAATATAAAAAAATAATTTCAAATAAAATTAAAATTTTAAAAATAGAATAAATTATTTGTTTTTAAAGCATAAAAAATAGAACAAAAAGTTACCCATAAAAAATATTTTTAAAGCATAAAATAAACATACTTAAAGCATAATATACATTAAAAAAAAAGGTACCGTCATACTTAAAAAATAGAATAAAAATAATATACATTAAAAAAAAAGGTACCGTAGGTGGACCACAATAATAAAAAGAAAAAACAAAAAGTTACCCATAACAACAGTAAAAAACAAATTATTCCTGCAAAGATTTACTTTGCAAAAAATAAAAGTGGCCAAAAAAGCATAGCATGTAACCTCCGGGTACCATTTGTCTCAACCCAGTCCTTCCTCCTTCCTCGACAGCAAGCCCCCTTGTCGATGACATCAATTTAGATTGCCTTCCTTTCCAAGCACCTTTTGTTTTTTGTTTGGAATTATATTTGGTTTAAAAGTTTATTAAATTAATATTTTTTATAGTTTTAATGTAATGGTATTAAAAATAAAACAAAAACTAATTTTAATATATTTTTTTAAAAAAATGAACACTTTTAAAAGCATCCTTGAGCGTAATACCAAAAGCACTAAAATAGCTAACTGCTTCCCTTCTCATATCTCCTCAGAACTCTCCCACTCTAGAAAAAACTCAGCTAAGTTTTTTTCGTTCGGGAAAAGAAACCAAACCAAACTACAAACTCAAAGCTTTCTTTCACAAGAGAAACTTGTCTGTCCATCTATCTCTGACAAGTCTAGTTTACTGGTGTGCTTCTAGTCTAAAATCCGAAGCTCATAATGGGGGAGGTCTTGAGTTCTTACAAAATAAATCTTTTTCAACGTTTAAGTTTAATTTTTATGTTTATTTATTTATTTATTTGGGTTTTTTTTCTTTTTTGTTTAGGAAGCGAAGAAGCCTGCAGCAGAAGAAGAGAAAAAACCAGAGCAACCAAAGAAAGTAGAGGAAGAGAAGAAGAAAGAGAAGCCAGCTGAAAAACCGGCGACCGAAGAGAAAAAACCAGAGGAAACAAAAAAAGAGTCACCCCCAGCCCCTCAAGAAATTGTACTTAAAGTTTACATGCATTGTGAGGGTTGTGCCCGTAAGGTCCGCAGGTGGCTCAAGGGCTTCGAAGGTCAGTGTCTTTAATTATTTCTTTTTGCTCTTTAACCAACAACGCCGTTTAATTGATGTGCTCTTATCCTTGGTTGAGTCATTGTTTTTTGTTTTGTGGGCTGATAATTAATTACAGGAGTTGAAGATGTGACTACTGATTGCAAGACTAGTAAGGTGGTTGTGAAAGGAGAGAAAGCGGATCCACTAAAAGTTCTTGAAAGAATTCAAAGGAAGAGCCATAGGCAAGTGGTGCTTATCTCTCCGATCCCAAAACCTCCCTCGGAAGAGAAGAAGAAGGCTGAGGAGAAGGAGAAGCCGAAAGTTGAAGAGAAGAAAGAAAAGGTATTGACCCCTCCTCTGGCTATTTTGATTATTATTTTTATAACATTTTTATGTTTAGTTATGGGGTTTAATTATTTTTCTTGATTGAGTGCAGCCTCCCGTGATCATAGCGATGCTAAGGGTATACATGCATTGTGAAGCTTGTGCACTGGAAATCAAGAAACGGATACAAAGAATGCAAGGCATGACCATTTTTAACGTTTTTTTCCTTTTAATTAACTTAAAAAATGCCTATTTTTCTTGCTTTCGGGTCCCTTTGCAACATTTTTTGGTTCATGCAAGTGCGGTTTCATTTTCACTCCAAGTTTTAGTCGGTCAGATGTATTGGTTGTCACTCACAATTTTGCCCTTTTTTGTTTTAAGATAATTTCTCCACCAGCAAAAAGAATAAAAATTACTAACACTTCGTACTCTTAGCGTACCTTTTGAATCCTTTAAATAAAGAGTTCATCCCTTCGGCCAGTGCTTTAAAATCAACAAATTCTTTTAAGTTACCATGTTGTTGAGCCTACTAGATTCCATTGAATTCGGTCCAATTGAAGTCAATTCAATTCTCCTGTATCAAATGATTCAAATCCTACCAACTCCATATTAGAATTCTTGATTTTAGTTCTTATTTTTTTCACGTTTTTATGTGGGGCTAACACCAACTTTTGGAATTAAATTCTGGTGTATTATTAATAGGTGTGGAATCGGCTGAACCAGATCTTAAGAGCTCACAGGTGATAGTGAAGGGAGTGTTTGAACCTCAGCAACTAGTTGAATACGTGTACAAAAGAACTGGGAAGCACGCAGTGATAGTAAAACAAGAGCCAGAGAAGAAAGAGGAAGAGAAAGAGAAAGAGAAAGGAAAAGAATCCAAAGAAGAGAAAAAAGGTGAAGAAAGTGACAAACAAAAAAAAGGTGGTGGTGGTGAGCAAGGAGAAGGCAAAGACAAAAAAGAAGGTGGTGGCAGTGAGGCCAAAGCAGTAGCAGCACCACCACCACCACCTGCAGAGGAAACTACAGAAGAAACCAGGGTGGTAGAGCTCAGGAAAATGGATTTTTATAATTATTATTCACCAAGAAGTTATGAGCACTATTCACCACCTCCTCAGATCTTCAGTGACGAGAACCCCAATGCATGTTCTGTTATGTAAAACAGTTTTGAAAATGAAGGGCAAGATGGGATTGGGGAAAAATAATTACGGGCGATAAATTTGCAGCTTATAAATAATATATATATCCTGCTTCCATGTGCACCCTCCCTTGTACTCCTTCATAAATGTATAATCTACAGACAACCTGTGGAGTTTTTGTGAGGCTTGTAGTTTTTTTTGTTTTTTTTTTTTTTCATTTTCATATAAAAACTAATGATGTATAATATATATATGGAGTTGAAATCTGGTGGTTTTACCTTCATGGTCTCTATTACTACTAGCTATATAAAATTAATGTCGAGAAATTATATAATATTAATGTCAAAAGGATAAAAAAAAAACTAACTTATATTAAACTTGTAATCCAAGTTATGTTGAAAAAAATAATAATTAGAATTTATAAATATAAAAAAAAATTGACTGAATTTACAATGGTCAATCCGCAAACCTATATATCATATTATAAAATTAAAGATCATATTATAAAATTAAAATAATTTGATTTAAAATAAAAAGAATAAAACCTAATTTTTTTAAAAAAATCAATGTTGAAAACCCACAAAATCTATTTTTTGAAAAAAAATCGCTTGAAAATAATCTATTTTTTGAAAAAAAAGCAAATTCAGATGCGAGTTGAAACTCAATTTATCATAATTAAATGATAACTTATAGGTAGGCCTTCTTTCATACTGCTTGAAAAGGTTGGTTGTACTGTGAGGAGTGGGAAATGATTGGTATATGGACCACATTTTCAGCACTTATAATGGTTGGTGCCTTTCGTATCGAGTCCACCTAAAACCATTGAAACAAAGAAGAAGAAATTAATGGAACGGATGAAGAAGATGACTATGATCTCTCCTTGCTGTTCCTTGGTAAATTAAAGGATCGATCTTTAGCCTAAAGTGGCCTGGAAAGAGGTGTCATGTTATTAACAGGGTAATTATGCCTTTGGTGTTCCTTTTGAAATATATGGTATCTTCCTCTGACAGTCTTTGTACCATTTTTATATCAAAAGTAAAAAAAAAGACAAGGATGAGGGGGGCAGGATGGGGCTTTGATGTTCAGTTTTCGCATCTAGCTGTAGTTACATGGGACACCTCTACATGGCGAAAAGATGATACCACCAGTTCTATTTCTATGCTAATTTGTTTTCAATTGTGAGAGAGAGTTAATCAATGATAAATTCATCAATTAGCATACAAAATACCAATAAAAAGTTGTGACAAAATAACATAGTTTGAAGAAGTCATGGTTTTAAAAAATAATATTTAATTAAATATCATGGTTGAAAAATGCTACATCAATTGTAATAAGTGTCCTGACAAATCGATATATCATTTTATTTTGGTCAATTAAAGTAGTAGATTGGTTAACACTAAAAAAACGAGGTTAGCTCTCGTGTGAATAATATTTTTTATAGATTTTGATTATATATTATTTTTTAATCTACAAATTAGAAAAAAAATATTTTTTAATTTATAAGTTAGATAAAAAAAATATTTAATTAGTATTTTTTAGAGAGATTGAGAGTGCATTTAATATGTTTATAGAGAGAGGGGTGTTTGTTCTGAGTTTGAGTTTAAATTTAAATTTTAATTGATATCACATTTTAAAATATGACATCTATCCTTTTGCTTTATTTTATGTCAATATTCATTAAGTTTTTAAAGTGGGATAATGTCAAAAAAACGTTATTTTATCAAAAAAAAAAAAATTAAACCATGTTTTTCCTTAACAACATTAAGTTTACTGTGCTATTTTCTTTTAAAAAAAACCATCAATTAAATAAATTGTTTTATAAGAAATAAAAAGCCAAATCAAGCGGGTTCTAAATTATCGAATGATTGATCATGTGATGTTGATGAAACCAAATCCCTCAAGGTGAAACAAGAGATGCTATTATACTCCATAACTTTTTGACGTTAGCTTTGCTTTGATTATAAAAATCATGAATAGTTAAAACTAGATTCTTGATCAGTATTACACCCCAGTCAAATGTTTTTTTTTCTAACCTAAAATAATACAATGATATTAAGAAGTAAAACATTTAATCAATACTTCACCAAATACTTTTAAAATACTAAGATAGTGATATATTAGCTCGTTTTAAACCAACTATAAAGAAGTCAAAATTTAGCATGAATACATTGATAAAAATATTGTTGGAAAGATATAATAGGTAGTAACAATATGTGAGATAGTGTCAAATTCAACTGTAATAATGAAACCGGTAGCATTGATCTATACAAGTAGTGAGCTAATATGAGTTTGGACATGGATGATGGACAATTTAAGATAAACAACAAACACAACATACTCAATAGTATAGATTGACAGTTGTGCAACAATATTGTGGGAAAAAGCTGCGGCAAAATAGTGGAGAACATGACTAAATTTTATGAGAACATGGACATAACGCTAGACAGACACACGGTATGATTGGAGGTGATCTTCGATGACATTAAATTCATAGAAACATGAGGCAATTTGCACACTAATTTGCCCAAATAGCATTATGAATACGAGATTTCCTTTCTAACTTTCATATGATTGTCTATAATAGGCTAGAAGTCTATAATAGGCTAGAAGGTTTTAGTTGTGTAACATGCAAGTTTTGTGTATAACACATATTATGTATTGTATATTTTCTTTGATGAAATAATAATAAAAGTTGAGAGTTTTTATGTATATGTTGTGCGCTATGCTATCTAGTTGCTTGTGTTAATTCCACTTACTTACAATGGGTTAAGGTGTGGAACCTTTTCGTGTGAACAAAACACATAGTTGAAGGTAAATACAAGTGAAGAGTGTGGAAAAGCTTAGTCTAGTGGGACTAAACTATCATATAGGGTTGAGAATTTTCGACAAGAAATTAATCATGTGACAACAATTATGATTAACTTGTGAAACTCATAATCTAGATCATAAGACTATTATAGCCTCGTGTAACCTAAGTCAAAACAAAATAGGACACTCCATTCTAATAAAACAAATATTAAAGGAAAATGAAGACACGTCAAATATAAAAAGTGATTCAATTAAAACTATATTGGTGGCTCACCCTACGTCGCGGGCTAATAAAATTGTTTATAACGTAAAAAAGGATGGTGAGATGATGATCATATTTTTAAAGAATCAAGAAAAATATGAGACTCGGGCCATTAGCCTAATTGGATCCAATAAGTCAATTTATTTAATAATCAAACCAAAAAAATTATCAATAATCAACTATAAAAAATGAGTCACCAATATCGTGCTCAAGAGAATAGAACAACAAAAAGTCCATTAGATTCTTGTTGTTGTTTCATTATGGACATTGATAACCCACTATCAAAAAGAATTCACTGAAATAGTTTTAACACTATTGTGATAGGTTATATGATGATATTGAAAGAATTGACATATGACACTAGAGCACCAATTCTGAAAGCAAAATAAAAAAATACCGTGAAGTGAGCATCCATACTTATATTTAAGTACTTGATTTAATTTAATTCAAAGAAAAATTTCTTTAAAAATATAAATATAACAAAAATAAATAAATAAAAAGACCCGAGGTAACTTGGTTTATTTTCAAAATTAGTGAAAAATCTTATAAAAATCAAATAAAAAAATAATAGAGTCTAATTTCCAATTAAATCAAATGTAGAATGATGAAACTAAAAAACACAAACTTGAAAAAAAGAAAAAAAAGAATGAACCTGAGTGAATATACTAAACCTAAGTTAATCTTATAAATTCACAAACTTTTAAATTATAAATTTGGGCTCAATCAAGAAGCTTAATTAATATAGAAAGATAAAATTAGAAAAAATTTAAAATTTAAAAAATTATCAAAGTAAAAAAATAGCAATAAAAAATGGAGGATGAAATAATAATAAAAAATCAATTTTAAAAATGATTTCAAATAACATAAATATTTAATAAAAAACGAGGACCAAATAAAAAAAAATTGAAGGAGAATGAAATTAAAAATAAATTTCAATTCTATAAATTAATTCAAATATAAAGATATTAATTAAAATAACAAAAAAAATTAAAAAAAAAAACAAATTAAAGGCTGCTGTGAAATTTAGGGAGGTCAAGAGCGAAAATCAAGAAGAGAAAATAAAAAAAAAATAATAAAAAAAGAAAAGCCAATATGCAACCGACTGGAAAGAACTACATCAGACACTCCATCTAAGTATGTAGTTCTGCTGTGAAGATTCAAAAAAACATATAAAAAAATTGTTTTTAACCTCTTGAAGTCGTCACACATGTCATTTAAACACGACAAGAAGGCTTACTTATTGGTATGTGCAACATGAACAACAAGCACTTTTTTTTATTTGTTAAAACGCTAGATTGCCCTCAGATCACATGATTATCACATAAAAAAAAAAAAAAAAAGCTAAGATGAAAGTATGAACACGCCCCTTGAGGCAAGCTAAAACAATTTGATTTTAACAGTAATACAATCATTTAACTATAATATAAAATGTAAAATTTCAAAACAGTTCCTTAATCTAAGTTAAATATATTTTTTTTGTTTTTAAGTAAAATTAAGTAATTATATTGTGAAAGAAAAAATATGAAAAAACCTAGCTATTCCCGATCAATTCTATAATAATTAATGAATCCTATAAAATCACCTTATTACTCGAAATAATCATTTAAGTTTTTTTTACAAGAAGGAATTTTTTTTATAAATGTTTTTGCCTACTAAATTCCCAATTGCATCTAGTCATGCCCCAGGTACTTTGCACCTTGATCTTGGAAAATCCACTTTTAGAAGACCAAAAACTTCCTCAAATTTCTAACCCTAACTAATAAGTTTGGTTCAATAATTCAACAAAATGATTTTGTTATTCCTCGAAAAATACAAAGCAACAGATAGTTGTTTACGAATAAAATTTACGAATTGGGAAATGTCCATCAACGTGTACTTAGTCGTTTATTCCTTCTTTTCTCCCTCTCAACTTTGCATACGTTTTTAATTACTAAAAATAAAAGAGTTTTCACTAGTAAAAAAATATTTTTCTTTTCTATTTTCTCCTGTACAGTGGAAGACTTAAAGATATATTTCTTTTTTGACAACAAAGTTTACAATTATTTTTCATAAAAAATTTTAATCTTAATTTGTAATAGTTATTTTAATATTTTTAATTTGTAATAATTTAATTTTAGAATATTAA